TTTCTATAGGAAGCAGGCAACTTGGGATTGAGATATTCAATATTGTTTTTGGAGATGGATGTTAGAGTCGGGATGCGTGGGGGGAGGGGATCGTTTTCAAACTGGTTCTTCCCGAATTCGATGAAAAATGTAAAATCAAAAAATAAATCAGTTATCATGGTGGTGAGGGTCGTGGTTGGGGCTGGAAATGGCGTCGTAAATGTGGATTACCCTGCTCCCTTCAACCTTCACGTATGGTCCCCTCGTGGGCGAGGGGGAGGGGTGGGGAAGATAGTAATTTTGTAAATTTTGTGATTTTGAAGGTTGACCCTTATAGCGGATGGGATCAGCTCATAGAGGCAATTAAGTCGCTAATCTTTGTATACTGTTAGAAAGTGTGCTCGTAGAGCTAGGCCCGTAAAGAAGCTTAGAGGTTTCAATTGCGATTTATTCTGTGTCAATTTAAGAGTAGATTGGGGGGCACACAGATTGTGCAATAGTCCAAAAAAATCAGGGAAGTCTGTGAAGAACGCGTAAAATGGAGCACCTCTGGTATCCTGTTGAATCCTGGTTTGGCACCTTCATGCATCCACTTGAATCAGTGCTTTTACCTACTTACTAGGCTTCTCACGTCACTGATCATTGCAGAATGTACTGAAATTATAGTACCGATTAAGGAAATTCAATCTCCAATTGAAATCTCGAAAATGAAAAATTTAGGAGTGTTTGATATCGACTACCGTATTTTCGTCAGCACTCGTGATGGGAACATTTTCTCCATTAAGAGAGACCAGACGGTCAAAGAGAAACCGATCATAAGCTGCAAGACGAACATCGTGAGCTTCACACGGATCAACAAAATGGTTCGTTCGCTTCTATGCAATTGTTTTGAAGCAAGGAATTCAAATCGCTCAGCGACGCGCCCTGTCTCGCGTTCGACTTCCGCTCAGAAACGGATGTTTAAGTGCGGCTTGACCGATAGTTTTGCGATTTGCAAAAAAAGCAGCCGTACAGGTCGGTGGTAGCACTCCTGCTACTATACATGCTATTCCGTGTGTCAATTAATCGCCACGGAGGGGTCAAAGGCTCAGTTGACAGAGTAGTGTTCTACTTAGGAAATGACCTAAGACTATACGTGTGGTTAGCGACGGCATTTCTCGCTACCCTACTGCCACTTGACGGGGAAAGCCGGGGTTCAATAACATATTTCGCCCCACAACCTCGTTCACGTCTGACCGTAATTCCCTTGGCATTGCCATCGCAATTGGTGGAACACTTCTTGACCCACAACGCCACCCATCCCCGTGCATTGCAGCATCTTTTTCGAAGGAATCCTTCCCGGGAAAATTCTTGCATTCTTTTCCAACATGAATGCGTCAGTTGTGATCACTAGGGACAACACACAAAGTTTCACGCACGAAGATTCGGTTCAAGAAGAGAAACAAACTCATGAAATTTACGCTCTATGGACGGTCGAAGGTAGGTCGCGCGGCGCCAAAGGCGGGGTAAAAGGAGAACGTCTCAGGGCTGCTACGTATCAGGCGACGCAATGAAAGAATCCGGTTAAAGCGTTCGATTTTGGAGAATAGAGGCAAACAATCGATAGAATATGATGCAGTAGAAGTGTGAGATGTGAATGCAATAAGTCAAAGGTCAAAAAGAGTTTCTAGTGAAGGCACTCCGGGAACCAAGTGGAAGCATTCCTGCCACCAGCATTTGTGACAGATGTCCGGCGGGTAGCAGTCCTTCCAGTTTTCGATTTGTTTACCAAAACAAGTGCAATTTTTTTGTTTCTTTTCTTCTATCGCAGACGATGGGTCTCAAACAGTGAATATGGATGAGTCGAGACATGTTTATCTCGAAGATTCCTCTAAACAGCGTCGACGGGATGGCGCCCATATGATGGTGCCAAATATCGCTCCTGACGATGGCAGCACATATGGGCTGCCAACTGATAATCGTTGCCAGGCGCTAGGAATGGACAGATAGGTGGGCAAACCTCGTAATCGAGTGTAAATGCTTTTCAAATTCCTTCACGGGAAAGTGAATAAATGCTCTCTTTTCGTAACCACTATTTGTCGTTCTGATCGAAATCCTACTGTTATATGTTTAGATAATCTTTACGCATTGGACATTGCAGAAATTATTTTGTGACATTCATGTTTTTGTTCATTTACAAAACAAAATCTGCGGTTATGTGGTGAGGCGGCGGCGCCCACAAAATCGCGTCCGTCCCACGCGACCGAAAAGTGGCTTAAGCCGTTTAGACACGGTGAGCACTTGAATGTGGCGTCAATTATGATACTTTGGCCGCAGTCACGTACAGTGTGAGAGCGAACGTAATCAACGACGCCACTTTGCTGTGCAAGGACGCTACCCTGCCATCCTGGGCAGCGATCCAAAAATAGAGCGACGCGCAGCGCGCCGCTTCGCGCGCGAGGCAAGGGGAGGTGATCCCCGGGGTGCCGCCTCATCCAATGTGAGGCGGCAGTTGGTCGTGTGGCAATCAACCACCTTCTACATAAACGGCGCTTAGTACTCTGCGCGGGCCTGCTCGACACATTCTCTCTCCGTTGAGAGGGCGCAAAGAAAACGATAAAGGGGATGCGAGCACACGCTTTAAGCGCGTCAATACGTCGCGCATTGTACGTGACTACAGCAGGAACATCATAATGCACGCTCATTCAGGTGCTCACCGTGTCCAAACGGCTTAAGTCCGGGGCGTCGTCGTGAATGTATTAAAATTATTCTCTCATCAAGAGCGTTCGCACTTCTGAAATTCATTATTACGCCGCTTTGTAACGCGAAAAAATGTCAAATAATTTGAGCTGAACGAGTTTTGTCCGTGGAACGTGTGACCCATCAGTGGGCCATATTTTCTTCACTTTTGAAAAGTCAAATCGCTATCCAGACAATTAGGTGGTACTTTGTCAAGCTCATCTCCCGAACGCACGTTTCAGGGGTGAAGCTTGTCATGCCTATTACTTCTGTCAATTGGCGAGTAGCGTTTTAACATGACTACAGAAGTGTGAATTGTAACCCCAATGAAGAACAGATGGGAAGAAACCATTCCAAAGTCAAGCATAAAGCTCTTCCATTCTCAACAGCAGCAAAGGAGCCTCGCATGGGCAAAAGATTTCTGAATGGGGTTACATCAGTGCTCCTCGTCAGGTCAGGTCACCTCGAATTGGGACAATGAATTGTTCGTAGCAAGCCTGAGCCCAAATTCGGGATTAAGCATAAGCCAATGTGTGGGATGAGCCTGAGCCTAAGTTGTTAGCTTCAACGATTGCGCAGCTCTTGTGACTCCACCTAGGAGGAAAATGAACGTTTCCCTAAAGGGTAACCAACAAACCGGGCTCGAGATGAGAGATATATGTAGTTTGAATGAACTGCTATGTACCTTGCGAGGAGGCTGTGCTAACCTCTAGCGAAGGGCGGTCATAGCTCAAGCTGGGCGACAACTCAGAGCAATTCCAGGTCAGGGGCCTTATTTGGCGACTACCGCGATTTTTCACGTCACGAGCGTGGGTTCACCTCTCGGTTGCGTGCTAAAAGAATTGATGAAAAGGTTGGGTGCCCAAGCCCGACCCATCCCTTCAATATTATTGAACTTACTCAAAATGTCCTATGATTTAGCTCGCTGTGGCTACTACCAATAACATGTTGATGTTCTTTTCATTTGCCGGCAAGTGCTTGAACACCATCTCCCTGGGAGAACCGATCAGAGGCCTCGAGCTGTTCCAATATGCTCCAAAACAATTCGAGGGCGTATTGGTATTATTGGAGAACCAGGTAAGGTCAAAATTCGCTCCAAATGCTATTTTTTGATTTTTTTTGGGTTACATCTCTGCATGCGATCATCGAGAGGGATGCATTCAGATTCGACTGTACACACACCTTCATCTACTGGATATCATGCGATTCGATAGACCATTGTCGTGGATAAAATTCGGGCCATTTGGTAGGGAAGAAGGAGCGCTCATAGGAAGAAGGAGCAGTTCATTTGAGTACAAAAGGTAGGGAGAACATATCTTGGCGATTATGATATCCTTCTATGGAATTGTCCTATATCTACTTCACAACTCTATCGTTGTAACTTGTAGACATTCTGTGCTTATGATCTCAAGAGTTCATGTGTTGCACGAGTGTTTATCTTGTGTACCAAATCTATTGCAACAAAACTAGTTAGCCCGATAACCCTCATATCATGTTTGAACAATTTATTTTACGATGAGAAGGCATCCCATTGGAAAATGAGTTAGAGATGGACAATTGATGCACGAATAAGAAAAACAAAACAAGTAAGAGCGATCTAGAACCAGAATGAGGTCCTTTTCCCTTTTCTCGTTGATTCCGAATTCATCAAGCGAATTTATCGTAGGTGCTTGTCTATCGTTTATGGAGCTGCTCTTTCAACGTCTTACCTCTCTCTTTTCTGATGGCTAACAGGTTCAGACAGTGAGTATGGGGGCCGTGCGCCAATAGCACGCTAAGTGGCGCCGCGTAGGGAACATGCTATATGCTTTGATCGCGACTTGCGTATCAGTCCACACCCTCAGCAAGTCAGCTTCGCCTCATCTACTGGTAAGTACCTCTTCTCGACTCTCCGTCATTATCGCTAGAATCCCATCAAAGACAAGCCCCAGGATCGTGCTTATAGTAGGAACCCGCGGGTCTGTGAACTTAGTTGACCACAGGGTCAAACCCTACGTTGCGCAAAGAACAACGAGGGTCGCATTTGGCCGAACGAAAGGGGGGGGGGTCGCATACAGAGGGACCAGGGGGTGAAAGGCTGGGAGGAATGGTCCCAAAAGACACGAAGTTACCATAAACTCAATAGTAATCATATTTCAGGCTTGGCTGTTTCGTACCGATCTCCCTGCATGAATTGTTATACTACATCGTGGAAAAATCTTTCTGTCTTCAGCACTTCTATTTAGACCTAGCTTAATTATGAAAAAAGGTGGTATAGGTGCCAAACTTAGCAAGTCACCAATTTCCAGCGTATCGATTGAAATTCAACTGTGTAGAGCAGTTCATGGGAAAGTAAAACAACCATCAAACCATAAAACACACAATGGTACCGCAAAACATACAATGCAATTCGATCATGTACTATCACCTTCTTCGGGAAAGTGGAGGACCTTCAAATGCGATAGGCCCAAATGTGCGACTTCAAGCCAAGAAGCTCCGTGCACGGGCGTATCCGAGTAGGCGTTTTCCCATAAAAACGCCTTCTCTGTAGCGGCCGTAAGCAGACAAACTTCCTCAAGAAAATTTTGATGCTTTTAAATCAAATCTAAGCGGAACAAAATGTAGCGAACTTGCTGAATTGAATTTCAAAGACCCCTTATGAAATTGAAGCAGAAGAAAGAATTCCATGAAAAGTTAACGCTAGTAATAAAGTACTCTTCGCGTAGATTCTAACGGTCTTTACCGCTTCTCATTTTATGAAGTTTGAAGGAAGTTATGGGTTCTTGAATATTGCAATGTCGCGGTTCAGAAGAAAGGCTTGAAAAAAAGTCTATGAAAATAAACGGAACGACGGGACTATTTTTTGAACGAGTGTGATCGCTGGAAAATTTTCAGGTGCTTGTTCGAAAGCGCTAATCTTCTAGTTTCTAATTAGCCTTAGACATTTGCAAAAAGTTAATTATGAAGAAAGTTATGAATGTTTGAATGTCGAAAACTCGCGTGTGCACAGAAAACGGAACGACGGGACGATTTTTTGAAATATTGAACATCCGCAACATTTCAAATGCTTTTTTGAAAGAAAACTATTTGAATTTTTAAAATTTTGGTGTCCGGTTCCATGAGAGCGCCGACGAACGAAGATATAAGTTTTCAAATAAGGACGTAAATTACTACTGCATATCCAGTTTTCCGGCTTATACAAAAAGGAGAAGGAAAAGGAGAAACGGGAACCAAGACTCGAGGGATCGAGAAAATGAAAACCAAGCCTCACTTCTGCCTGATTCGAACTCCAACCTACCCATGATCGAGCTTTAAATGAAACAATGATCTCTTTCGTTCGAAAATTCGGAAGTTTTTCGATTTCCTCCATGAAATGGAGGATAAAATATGGCGTGTGAAGAAAATATTGTGTTATTTTCGGGATTTCTTCAGGAATAAAGAGAAGAAGCCATGTACACACTTCAACTTTATTGGACAAAGACGTTGATACACACAGAAATACACCGTAACACTAAAAAACACACATGTCCAATAGGGGGGGGGTCGCACTGACACCCCTTGAAATGGAGGGGGTCGCAAAAAATTTGGAATTTGCGCAACGCAGGGTTGACCCTGGTTGCAACCCGCCACCTTTTTAACTTTTTACCTTAAGTCCGTCGGCACGGAATTCGGCGGGTGAGGGCGCTAATCGTAAGGATCTTGCCATCATCGAAGCTCTTACACTCCACGGTTGAATATGTGGATCAAGTGCTCTATATACGACGTTGCTCTCGCGTGTTTTACATTCGATGTCGATCTATCTCGCCTTTACCGTATCCGGGCCTTACTTTCTCGAAGTTTAGGCCCTTGATGTTTAGGCGCTGTCTGGTTTTCGACGCTTGCTTTCTTCCCCACTTGCACTTCACGCAGCTCAACCATCCAAGGAGACCTCAGTTTTGGCCAGGGGCTTGCCTTCAAAGGAAGACTCCATGATATGGTCCGAGGTCGAAGTAGGAAAGAAGCTAGGTTGAAAGGCAGGCGATTCCCTGAAGATGCACGACAATGCGGCATTTGTGCGAGGGCCGCACCTAGCGACTTGGCAGGGCTTACTGGCCTCGCGATGCCACACGCACACCAGCGGCTGAGTCATGAAAGGAAAGTGTTGGATGGTACTACAATTATCGCCATCGTTTTCTATTTATTCGAAAGAGTACTCGATTTTAAGCGGCCAATTTAACGTTAGTATCTTTCGATTTTTAGGTGATGCGTTATCATTCATGCATAATGTTTGCTAGCGTGGCACCGCCTACCAGGATTGCCACGTGCAGAGGTGCTCGCCCTGATCGCTAACTCGTCCATTGCGGAAACCAATGAAGAAAGGGATTCTGTTTTTCGGGTTTCAGGCCATTTTTTCTCGTGTTCTGCTTCATCATGCGGCTTTTGTCACTCTAGTTATCACGCCATGGTAATAAAATCCGCCGTAATGTGTGTGTATTCTGAAATGAGTATGGATCGCACCAGCCCAGCTTGGCAAAAAAGTATGAATTCAACCTGACTGACTGTATGAGTCGAGTGGCTCACGGCTCTCTCATCATGAAGGTCATTCGAGACGTGAAACGCTTCATTAAACGCAGTGGTCAGAGGAATCGGGGACTACTTTGGGGAGGTCTACGCCACGTGAAGTATAAGCTCTTAAGTATAGGAGCGATTTGTGGCATAAAGTGGACGTCGCTGCTGCCTGTGGCGGAAGGTGAGCTGGCTGCAGCCTAATAGGGGTCAGTTCTTAAAATCACAAAGCCACAAAGCTGCTCCACCCTCCAGTGTGTAGCAAATTGCAGAGCCGTTCGGTTTTTGTCTCAAATGAAGCATTCCACTTCAAGCGGTCGCATCATTTAGTTTGTCTAGAGAATGTAAATTCTTCTCTGAAAAAATATGAGGGATTTTCTTTGGCGCCCTGACTTTCGAGTGTCTTGCCTGCAATCACATGTACTCCATTATGAATGCCACCAACAACTTTGCCCGCGAGCTGCAGTAGCGGGGTGGTGATGGTGTTGCTTGTGAGGCAATGGTTTACGGGGTCAGTTCCTCGCTTTGACATAGTGTGAAAGCATTTTAAATGCACTATTTCATCACGGTCGTCTGAAGCGACATCTGTGAAGAGTTTGCGACCAGCTCCCAGTTCGAGCACAACTTGCCTATGAATACCTATAATACCGCTGTGCAGGCGCTAGGCTTTTCTGTGGCAAGTAGGTACGATATTCGTATTCAGAAGATCAAACTCTCTTCATGGACGTGTTTCTGGCCAAAATTGAGGTCATGAACTAGTTAGGAAAAAGGGGAGCAGTCATGGGATTACCACTCTCCATACAGCGATTCTAGAGTTGACCAATCATGGACGATGGGGAGAGGGGAGATCAGGGGGGGGGGTTACAAGAAATTTGTAATAGTAGATTGATGATTTTGTTAGAAGGTGGCTGCTCAATTTTCCGTGTCTAAGTCAAAATTTCAGAAATGGCTATAAGTTTGCTTACGGAGGGAGTCCGACTCCCTGTTCACGAACACCACCCTTCTTGGGATCAAAAGGGCCTGTCAGCGCAGGCGACTAGTGTAGCCAGTAGTGAATATCGCTCAATCTCCTTATTAGAAGCTCTCAACTTCTTTGTACAACAATATGTATACGAAAGCGATGAACTAGCGGTACCGAGTGTCGTTTTAGCTATGTTCTGAAAAGAGCAGAAGAGCACTTTTTTCGAGGAGTCGATCCCTCGACATCCTGTATGTAAGTCCAGATACTGCCGCTGCGCTTTCCTCTTCATAGCTCCGATTAGAGAAGAGTTCAGTAGATAAGAAAAGCAGAGTCCAGCGCATCAAGGCGCGTTTAGAAATATGCATCACATTCAACTTAGCTGGGTGACGACTTAATGGTCTCTCCTGGTTAGGGGGATTTCATGTTTTAAAGCGCACGTGTGTTCTCAAACAGGTCTATGAGTTAAAATCAAGGACGTGGTTCATCCTGTGTCTCTTGTATACATCGTGATCCTTTCACCCTTATTTGGTTTTAGAGGGTGGACTTCTGGTGAAGCTGTTCCGACGGAAAGCCTCACTCGACGAGAAAATCGATCTTGCTCCACAACCAAAGGCCTATAACATCAAGCTGAATATACCGAAAAAGAGCAAAATATTCATCGATCAGACGGTCAGAGAACGCGAGAACGTCAATCAGATCAATCAGGTACGGCAAGTTGAAAACTGATATACAGGGTGGGGCATACATAGGTTCCCAAAGTGATTGTGGCCCATTTTGAACCAGAAAGGTCGAAACGTGGTGTCAAGTGCAGCAACGCATGTTCATTACTTTTCAAACCATTATCAACATTTTCTATTCAAAATGGCCGCCTATAAACTTGGCAATTTTTTCAAACCTGCACAACAGAAACTGGCCCTTGCCTGCATAACATCCTTCGAAACTTCATTTCATACTTTTTGAAAAGCAGCTCATAGCAAACCATTCAAGTAGCGTCGTTTCAAGCAATTCCTCGGCTTCAATATCGACCACAATAAGTAATCCGCTACATTCAAATGAAAGGTTTTGGCTGGCCAAACTTTGTGCAACCCAAAGTCGAACAACTGATTCTACAGCAAATTTTACAAAATTCAACCCATAGCCGACAGACCTCCTTTCTAGTCATAAGCAGTAAAGACTAAGGGAGCTTTCTCCAGAATGCCCAAAATGCTATCTTGGACATCATTTGGCTTAAAATTTCACTTCCACACAGGCGAAATCCAATTGAGAAGATGAGAACTTGCGTTACTCACGTTTGGTTCATTCCTGAGTTAAAATTGTATTCGACTTGCGTAGTGCTGCCTGCTAGTTTCTGCTTAACTCCATAATCAGTTCTCAGCTTTATTAGAATGAAGTCATGTGTTCGTACATATAAAAGTATCAAAGGTTTCGCCGTCGGTGTACATGCCCAGGAACGTCTTCCAGGGGCTGTAGAGCATTTCCAAAACGGTCTTCTGCATGATCTAGGGGCCATGCGGGAGCCTTTGACCACGGTTAATTTTTCCTAAGGCCCTATGATTATCAAAAAGGGAGTCCCTGGTTCGATTCTCGTGGGATATACTTTTGCATTAAGATTAAAGGCACAACCCAGGCAGAGGTTTTTTATAACTCTTCTCTTCGGTCAGAAGTATAGAACCCTAGGGGACAATCACAAATGTGGCGTTCACGTGCACGGAATTCGACCGACAAGAACGCTTTGGGCTTGCAAAGTAAGCTGCTCGAGCTGCAGCGAACGAGCTCTCTTATCAGGCCGTTGTCTGGTGCTCTCTCATCTGATGCGCTCTCTCGCCCCATACTCTCCTCTTCGCGCTTAGTCTCTCGTTCCTTTAGCACAGCCAATTAGGAAGGTGAGTGAGCCCTCAACCTGAGCGTTTTCGACGGATTCTTTTCCTTTTTTCTTCACTGCCGGCCCACTTGGCACCGATACATTCACATTCGTGTGCAAGAGCCACACCAGTGCGATCCTGGGGCATGCCTTTAAGGTTCAAAATTCGCGACCAAATAGAGTTTCGAACAATGAATACCACATTCATGATTGGGACCGTCAGTAACCCTTACTGTCGACTGTGATTAAAAAGTGGTCAAGAAGTCGTGACACCAAAGTGGGGCCGTTTTGGTGGCACAATTTTTTCACCAATTTTTCAGCCAAAGTCTATTAATGCAGAGTTGTGGTAACCCTTCCAAATTATTAGGTCCCAAAAGTCTTTGCCATTCCATGTGTATGTTGTGAAATCTCCAGGATAATTTTTGACCATCCATTGTAAAGTAGATGTAAACCCTAGTCAATGATCTCTTCACAGCATTTCTGCCGTGGTATTTCGCAGCGATTATGGCTGAGAAAATCGACTTTGACTGAAAGCATATTTGGCTACTCTTGATTCTAAAACCCAGAAAACGCAGTGGAAGTGATGCGGCAAGAGCTACTTGCTTGTGATGACTCTCAAGATTGTCTTCGCCGACATGGCAAACATCTGCGTTTGCCGGGGGGGCGGGCGGGGTGCCGATGGCAGGAAACTCGACAAAAAAGTTCCAGAGTCGGTCGGCTTGGTACCCTGAGTGGCGAGTGTCTTCTGGAGTTGTTTGGAAACAGTCCCTGGTGCGATGCACGATAACTGACACAGCTTTTCCACAGTTATCGGAACACAATAGCCATTGCTCAATAGCCCCTCAAAAAGAAGAGAAATTATGGCAGAAGGGAATTTCGTGGTCTGCGTGACAGCCGCTGTCGAGCCTTCCAACTTGCATGAACATATTCATCGGCTGTATCTTGTTTGACCCGACTACTTTGTTAGTGATGGTAGCAAGGAGTGGGTTCCTCAAGTAGAACAACACCCGCGAGCGCCACTGGCTCAGACGCATAGAACTAGAGATGCTGACGTCCATTCCAGCACTGCAACTTGAGAGGCAACTTTTGGAGTTGGTAGAAGCTGCAAGCGATCCGTTCAACAGCTCCTACCAACGAAACTGCACTGCTATAGTTGAACATAATGTAGGAAACTGATGGCCCCTCACCGGCACTATGAAAAGACGGCAAAGCTCACTTCATCCAAGCAACGACCGTCAAGGAATTTTCGAAGATAGTACAGCAAAAGTCTCCAACCGTTTATGGGATGTTCTGTCTCACCATTTGTGTTTAGCAGGTCCGGCCCCAACAGAATACCGTCTGCTTCTGTTGCTGCTGATTCAACTAAAAAAGAAGGAGCTTCATATAATCCGGACTTCTCGGAAACGGGCTTCTTCCAGTTTTTTCAAGACTTCTAGGCAAACGGCATTCCACAAGTCACCTGCTGAAAGGCAATATGTTGACGATCATGATGGGGCATATGATTGTAAATTGTTGACTGGCTAAGGAAGAAAAGTGGATTTGAATTAAATCACAAATGGGCGAAAGAATTTCAGGACAACCTAATAATATGGGATTAATTTGTCGCTTAATCTTGTCATTAATGTCGTTGCAGACGTATCAGCGAGATTTGTTCCTCATCAAACATCACACGACAACAGCATTCGCTGCACTTGCGCAAACCGCAGCCACGTCGATCTCGACCGATCCGAATCACTCAGTTGACATCGCTGTAACTGTGAACGGTTTCGGTCCCAAATTCCGAATCACCATCAAATTGAGTTGCGCCACGTGAGTCTTCCATGAAAATTTCAGAACATCGTGCCACGATAAGCAAATGACCTTCAGTGCTAGCTTTGCCAATTAGTGCAGTTCGCCGCGGTTTACGACGCGAATATTGTCGCAAAGTATGCTGAGCACGGTCAAATGGCTGTTGTTCCAGGAACAACGGAAGGTAGGAAGTTAGAGGAGCCGGAGGAGAGGGGCAACGTAATTTATTTGAAATCAACGCAAAGTGACTGTTTACCTTGATACTGAGTGAAAGGCATAGTTTCTATGGAGAGGCAACCCTTTAAAAATCAGGTAAGGTGGACTGTGGTGCAGTGATGAAGAAAAGCAATGAAGTCGAGTAAGGTTTGAAAAATTATACCGAGTATATTGAACAATCAATACTCGAAACACGTTTCCAAAGCCTTCAAATTCACATCACATTTGAGAGCTGGAGAGCCTCCCCAAGACAGAATCAGTTGTCACTGGCGGTGTATTATGTAGTACGCCAGTGTGCAAAACTTAAGGACGAGAGATGAAGTAACATAACTTATTGATAGCTTTGTGGACCGTTTAACGGTTCCTGTCAACTGCTTTCTTTACTGCACTGTAGCAGCTCTTTCTATGTGTGGTTAGGTTCCATAGAGTTATACTTACTCGCCAGTAACACGTCATGGAAGGTCCTTACGTTTTGCACGCCAGTGTAATAAATTATGAAACATCATAAATATCACCTAACGATTTGCTCATTTTACTAAGAGCGAGGATGGACCTCCAGGATCCTCTTCAGCTCCATAGCTGGCTCCCGCAGGTTCACTCACAAAAATGTCGAAAACTTGGGAAGTGGTGTAGTGGCAAAAGGGACTGCTTACCACGCGAGCGGTATTACGATCAAATCCTGGGTCGTGAGTCGCCCGGGCCAACCTTCCATCCCTCCGGGGTCGGTTAATTGGTACCAGACTTGTCTGGGAGGATAAAAACACTGACTTGTACATCGGCTGGCCCCCGCAAGTCATTGTATAGGCCACATCGCATTCAAACGCCACTACGAATGTACAAATGGAAGTAGAATGCGTGCCGCATCCCAAAAAGGGATTGATCAACGGCAAATGCTTTATCCTTTTTATCCTTTTTTGTGTCGAACAAGTGCGTTAGAGCGGCTACCATACGAGAGTGTAGCGGTTAAGGCGGCTCAGCACACAATTGTCCTGTGTTGCAGCAATTCTAGGTGTGGAGCTTGGTAATTGGTGAGGGGGCGCACAGCCATATGGCTCGCATTTGGATGAGGGCTGATAGAAGTGCAGGTATGCCGATCAAAATGTCACAATATGTGCATCGCCTTGCCATGAGCTGGCTGTGCACATCTCAAGTGATCGCTTATTTGAAGGCCAAGCATCCAACAACTCCTTGCTAACCGACATCGTTTCAGAAAATCTCCTCTTTACAATCTGTGGTTATCTATGATATACACGCCAAGCATCTACCGCTTCGATCAAACGCTCATACCCGTATCGATCTTGATGCCCGGACATTTCTACACTTTCACGACTCTTGTCGAATGTCTTGAGCCGGAAAAGGTTTGCGTTTGTCGCTTGCATTTGTAAACTTGTCATTTGGCAGACAGGCATTTAAAGTCTCGATTCAACCTATCCCTTCCCTTTTTTCAAAGTTCATCGAATTTCAGGGACTTTCGGAGGATATTCGAGTGCTGCTCATCAAGGAGGATAAGCCAACACCCATCGTCACCGCCATAGTCACAATGCCAGCCAGCGAAATGAGCTTATTGAATTGATCATTGCAATTTGTTAAAGGCAAATGGTACGATAAAGTGACCGCCTACTGGAAAAAAGAGAGGTGTTCAACGATGCAGTATAAAGAAGGATCGGGAAAGACGGCAAGAAAATTGAATTCGCAAGACGAGACTATCTGCTCGTTGGCTTCTGCTTTGAAGCGGGGCGGGCGTCCGGGACGAATTCAGTGGACGCGTTTAACCCCGGCAGCCAACGTCACAAAAATCATGCTTCTATTGACGCAACGCTCGACAGGCAAATTTGAGTATATAACCCCATATTAAGTTCCCTCTCAAGAAGAACAAGGTATGATTATAAGAGTATCAGCTCCTAGCAAGCTTCTGTTGCATCCAGCAATTTCTGAGCTTGGACGGAGGAAGAAGGAGTTTATCGTCACTGGTATATTCGCATTCCTACTCATGGCTTTCACAGTTCGCGCAGTTGCGGTAGTACGGACCGTACGAACATTAACACTGCGGGGAGCGCCAACACACAACACACACACTGGCGCATGGCGCGTACAGTCGGCACCTTTATTTGATCAATTTCAACTTCAGTCCATTCTGTATATTTTTCAATGTTCTACCTTATTCCTTCAGCACGTATTTTTCATTTCAAATGAATTGTTATTTTTGGTGCAATTTCTTTGCCTGGGGATCAGACGAACTGCTTACCGCTAACCGCTCAGGAACTACTGAAAAAAGTAGATGAAGAAACGAGAATTCTTGTGCTGAAAAACACGAGCGAAACAAGCGCCTGTCTTTTTATGGTAGACGTATTTCCCCTTCCTCGGCCCCAACTTATCGTACCATCTGCCTTTATTTGAAATATGTAAGAACAAACTCGATCTCACATGGTCGTTTGCACTGATTTTGATCTTCTCGATGACATACACTGGTCGAACTCTCTGCTGGTAGCTCGCTGATTATTCCTTTACTGTATGTATGTGTGCTCCCTGTTGAAAGTCACATTCAACAAAGAATAAAAAAATCGGATGGAATGTTTGGCTGTATCCACCGAACTTAAAGGAATCTTCCGCGGAAAAAGCTCCGCCTCCATTACCACAGAAAAACGATACCTTAGGCCCCTAGCCTCATGAGCATAGCAAAAAGAACGGAACATAAGCGTTAGTTTCGATAATACTAATCCTACACACAAGACAAAATGATCACTCTTTCCGTGGAAGATTCCTTTAAGGTATCGTTTTCTGTGGTAATGAGGGCGGAGCTTTTTCCGTGGAAGATTCCTTTAAAACAACGGGACCTTAGAGATTGCTTTAGTTATCAACGCCTTCAAAGTTCATTTTTTAAAAGGTAGCGCCACTTTCTACATCGAAACGCGTCACTAGGACCCTAGGCGCCATGGACTTCTAACAGACTCCACCAAACTTAACATGGTCCGCCCACCGTCGATATCTTGTCTGCGTCGCAACGTTGATCTGCTATGCTCTCTCTTCTCGGACTTCTCTACCGCTCTCCGCGCTCACATTATCTCTCATCTCCCTGATTGCTTTTGAACTTATCCTCATATGTTCTTGCGCTTTTTGGTGTTTTATTTATGAACGCTTCATTTTGTTCCGACTTCAAGCAAACTGCCACAGTGCTATATAGCATTTTGAGGAGCTTTTCTTGTACTATCCGGTATCGTGGTCTGCTTTGTCCCTTATCATTTTATTAGGTCGGTCCATAAGTCTTGCAACAAACTGGCCGAATTTTGAATTTAATATTTTCATTATCTTTTTGTTCCATTCATCCAGCATGCTACCCTCCATCAATATCTACAACCTATTGCCAACACACTAGTAGCTGTTCGATGCCTCCCTTGTAGGACTCTACTGAATTCTGATCGAAGAAAGATCAGATGTCGATTTTGACATCATCATAGTTAGGATGAGCTTTCTTCTCTAGGAGATGGTTTGGAGAGGGGAGCAGAAGGGCATTATTTGGCACGAGGTCAGGGCTATAACGTGGATACGGAAGAACTCTCCGTCCCAGAGTCTCAAAATTTTCCTGAATTTTCTTAGCAAGAGGTGGTTCAACGGTGTCATAAAAAAGCAAACTTTGCCTTGTTTTTCTTTCGTATTAAAAGCGTTGCAATCGAGCTGTGGATAGTTGACTTTCGCGTTGACTGCGACATCTACACGTAGGGGTTCCAGAGCTTAACTCCTCTCGTGTTCCACCAAAAATCCGAGAAGGCCCTACTTGGACGAGGTTGAACTTAGCAGTAAGAACTCCCGAAGCGTTTGAGCTGGACTACCGCCGCTTGTTCATTTGTTAGCACACTGTACCACTCCTCATCTTCGGTTGGAGTGTGGGTTATCTTCAAATAAAAAATTCAACGCTGAGCAGAGTGAAGCGCCGGTGCACCGTGAATTGAGAGAGCGTGCCCTCGCCCATCTTCTGGCTAATCCTTGGTGTAGCATGACTTGCGGAACATTCCAAGCAGTACTCGTAAAAATTAAGGGCACGAAGAGCCTTTCGCGAAATCGGTGTAATATCCATAACAAGTAGCCAGACAACGAGCTGGACGGTTGGCTGAAATTGCAAAGGTTGATGCTACGTCAACAAATACAGGGTGTCCCATAAATATTGCACCAAATTTTGAGCTCAAATTCTGTAGCTGTTTATAGCTTTTCTTCCGAGGTTGACAGACCTTTCAATTCCCTATCCTCTTGTCAATGACCATGCCAAATTCCACAGCTTACCTTTCGTTGTACATCTCATGGTGCACCTACTCGAGAGAGGTCCTAATCTCCCATGCATTGGATTTTTACATGCTCCACGGCCTACTGTGGACTGGATGAAAGAGCAATGAAAGTAGTCTTTGTTGCGGCCGCCCCACAAGTTCTGACATCTTGGATCTCAGGAAAAGCATGAAGAAGCGAAACGACTGCAATACCCGGTTGGCTCGAGAAAGGTGACCAGAACGCTGGAGTTTCTAACACAGCCATGTAGAGAGTGGTCGGATAACAACTGCTCACAGTCCGTTATAACACCACTGCTCAATCCAACGGGAGGAGCACAGCAGAGACAAAAAGTTCAAAGAGCTGGTGTCGAGGGCCGAAAATGGCGATTACGCGGGCACCGTTTTCATCGACGACAAAATTCCTCACATGGAGCGAGCTACAATCTTCAAACTCCGAGGATGCCCGCATGAGGTCTTAGGGAAGTCAGTGAGAGTGAAAGGAATATTTGCTACAAGCACAGTTATCTACAGGCGGACCTTATCGTGGTGACGGTCGTGTAGGGGTGGTCCGGACGGGGGTCTCAACTAACCGCCGCTCACCATCACTGCCTGTTTACAAAGGAATACAGCTTGATACTAGACCGAGTCAAGGGACATTTCGGTGCACCATCTGTTAGTGAGGTATCTAGCCACTTTGACGAGGGTGATGATCTTTCAATAGGACCCAGCTTCTGCATAGGAGGCAAAAATTGTTCAGGAGCGCTGTTGAGGCACTCTCTCCGATTTCACATCCCCGAACGAATGGCTCTCCTATCCCTTGATTCCAGCGTGCTGGACCATCCTAAAAGGGATATGTTAGGGGGCAAAGCCTGCACTAAACATTACATCTACACGGATGAGCCGGAGCCTTTTCTCTGTAAAGTTTTAAGAGAACACCCCAGGATGCCATGCGGGCCACAGTAGAGTTGCGTTTGAAGCAATAGGGAGCCATACTGACAACAACAAGGGATCGTATCCGATGGGTATCATCCCTTCAAATATGTAAATGTATTGGCAAAATTTCTGTAAAACTTCTTGAATATACATACATTTTGAAAGAAGTTACAAGTAAAGAAAAGTTGGTGCAATATTTATGGGACACCCTGTATGTTGCAGATTTTCTGGAGTTCTCCCACAAATTCCCTGGCATTAAATGTAATTTGTTGCAAGACTTATGGACCACCTAAAACAGATTTCGAAGACTTGGAATACGGCATTCTCGTCCACCAGATTTGCATGGTTTTCTTTTTCTAGCTCAAAAGGCGTCAATGAGAGGAAGCAGGTCAAGATATTATAGATGCACTTGGCTGAGATTCGCAATAAATATGGTCTGAAGCAATTGTTCAAAAAGCTTTTGTAAGAATAGCGAGAGCCCTAAAGATTGTGAGGGTGGTGATCGGAGATTGGACAACGCCAACGATTAGTCGAAAGTTCTGGTTGAAGCACGTTTGCACAAAACTATTGAGAAGGGTTCCTACTAAACCGATCGCATTGCTCTGTGGCTTTCTGTTACACGGAAAGTAATAGAAAAACCAAAAATTTTGTTGGGGTGTGCAGCGGCAACCCACAATTTTGAACGGTCGTTTCCCCACTTTCTAGCTTGTTTTGTGTAATGAAGACGACCTGCTTTCGGTCAGCGGCTGGTCTAGATCTACGGAACCAGGTGGAACTTTTAATGTGGGAAAGTACTCTTGATAATGTTCCAAAATAATCCTAGAACTCTAGCACATATGCTCGCAATTCCTCATTATAAAGGAACCGGCTCGTCCCTGACAGGTAGCTCGGACGCACATTCCACAACCAACCCTGCAGAAGTTGAACAAGATTGGCTACGAATTAGTCCTGCGAACATCCTACTCGGTAGACCTTTTGCCTATAATTGTCACTTTCTCGACTACCTGGATAGCTTCTCCAAAGAGTTATGCTTCAAAAACCAACATGATGCTGAAACGACCTCCGCCGGGGTCATCGTCTCTCAGGATTCTGGGTTCGTCAGAGTCGAATCCGTGTCTA